CTCAGAAGGGGTTCATGTTGTTGACAGGTCTTGAGGGAAGTGCCATGATTCTGAAGCACCCTAATGACTTTTACAGTGGAATCCCAAGTAGCCTTGAAAAATTATCCAAACCATAACCACAGCCACTTTTGTAAAATATGACGAATAAGATGAAGAGAATTCTAAATTAGGATTGGGCACTTGGCCTCAGTGGATTACTTATATAACTGGTGGAAGTTTGAGGTTCAGCTATAGATGTGAAGGGGTTTGCCATTGCCTGCTTCTTAGGACCGAGAGAGAATGACTGGCCCAAGGTCACCCAGTTGGCTTTGTACCTAAGGCAGGACTAGAACTCATGGTCCCCTGATTTCTAGCCTGATGCCTTAACCACTACACCAAACTGGCTCTCTGTTTTACAATACACACTTCTTAAGTACCATATGCCTACTTACTTTACTTCAACTTACTTTTATTCTGTTCCTGATATATCCAAATCTCCATTCCATATAACTAAATGGGCAGAAGTATGCTCTTATATATTTGCTTCTTCCAACAAACATCCATTCCTCACAACAGCCCCCATGCTACCCACTACATTAATATTTCTCCATCCATTATCCTATTTTTCTACCAAGTTATACAAATCCATCTACTTGCTTTGTTTTGAGCATTTTGCCCCATACAATTTATTTAACATTTGCTGTACTTCATTTTGATTCTCAGCCAACAACACAGCATACAAAGTTACAGATACATTAGTGTCCCTAACATCCCTCTAGCATCATTACAAATATTCCTTATTTATTTATCTATAAATACAGCAATCAACCAAGGAACAGCACACAATCTTGTCTTGCTCTCTGTTCAAAGTTGAGCCATTTGCTAAGCATTTCATGTAATTGCAGGAATGTTTTAATTTCATCACATACCATTCTTACTGCATTCAGCAACCAACCATCAACTCCATATTCATGCAAAAGTTCCATTAGTCAAATCTGTTCATGTTAACAGAAGCTTTCTGTAAATCAAAGTTACAATACACTTTCTCACATTCCTACATTTTCTCAATGACCTGCTGTAGAATAAAAATCTGTGTCTGAGGAAAAAGCAGTTTTGCTACTGGTGCTACCAAATCAGAAGACATTGTACAGACACTATCCCACCTTTTCCTCATCAATGGACGCATGTTTGTAGCTAGATTTAAACACTGTCCTAAGCCACACTGCTTAGGACCATTCAGACTTGTTCCCCTATTGCTGGCATGTTCACCCTCCTGCTTCTAATTAGCCCAAGAATGTGTGGCCTATATGCAATTCGACTAAGGCATTCTTGAGAGTGACTCACTCAAGTTGTAACTTGATGAATACAGATGACAATATGAGGCACCCAAATGGCATGTTCTGTTGCATAAAAATATAAGAAAGAAAACAGTCACAGAACTATTATTTATACAAGCTTCTGATCTGTCTAGGCACAAACAGCCTCAGGTCTTTGTCACAGCAATGTATGACTAATGGATCCAGTTCTTTAACTGATTCACTATGAGCCAAATCAGTCCTTGTGTAACTATCTCCACCTGTACAAGGTGAGTCAGATATAACCAATCAGTGCCATCTATTTCCCAGAATGAGAGAGAGAGAGAGAGAGAAGGAAGGAAGGAAGGAAGGAAGGAAGGAAGGAAGGAAGGAAGGAAGGAAGGAAGGAAAAGAAAAGAAAAGAAAAGAAAAGAAAAGAAAAGATCAGGACAGTTGATAAATCAAAAACCTACATTGAAAAGTGTTGTCATGGAATCAAAAGAAAGACTTTAGTTCATTTTTTCCCCCCTCTGGGCTATAAATTTACTATGAAATGCTTTTTGCAGAGAAAACTGTCTGGCACCTCTTTTAAATGTTTTCTCAGAATTTGAAAATAGAGCTAGGTCCCCCCCCCCTTCTTTTATTTTCCCAGGCTTTTGAAAACATACTACAGCTTTTAACACAGTTCTAGCATTGTAATTTCTATTCTCTCATCTCTGCTTCCTTCAGTTTCTAAAATCTTGTGGCATTCTAATTAATGGTGTGCTTTTAACTGCATATTGTGATGTTTATGTTGTTTTTAAACATCTATCATAATTTTGTGAACTAACTAGAGAACCTTTTGTTAATGAATGGCCTGAGCAAGCCACAATTTCTCAGCTTGTTCTTACAACACTTGAGTCAATAAGTGAAAAAAGCACACACTCCTGTGCTGGAATTCTGTTCTCAAGTCATGGATAAAACTTAGGTAGACAAACTCAGAGCTGCCTGCTGCTCAAGCAAAATTCAGATCTCAAGCAGGTCGCTAATAGGTTGCTGGCCTGTGTTCTTGGAGCTCTTCCATTATAGGTGGATGTTAAACACTTTCCTGAAGTGTTACGTGCACATGGAAGATTTTATGCCCTATGCTTCAATATGGCAGGGATAAATAAAATAAAATAAAATAAAATAAAATAGAGGAGGGGGAATATATAGCTCCAGCAACCATTCAAGCCCAAAATCAAAGATTTTATGTTTAAATTCACACATACTGACACACAAATTATCAAAAAAGAAAACAGGATAACTCCAGTGTCCCAACTCAGTCCCCAGCACATGGGCCAATATAATTTGTCTTAGAGAGTCAATGATTGGGAAAGATCACTGTTGACCAAATGAAAAGTAAAAGATCATCAGAATTACTGATTCAAAACTAGCAAGCCATGCTAGGCACAAGAAATAGGAAGGATGGAGAACTGATATCCCCCTGAATGCTGCTCAGTTACAGCTCTTAACTCCATGCCCTCACCAATGGCCATCCCACCCTGACAACTGCTAGGAATTTAGCAACACCTTGATGGCCAGTGTTTCCTGCCCCTGAAGTAGGGAGACCATAGGCTCCATACTTCTATGGAACCTTCATCTGGGCGCCAAAGTCACTTTCCATAAGGCAAATGGTTTTTCTGGATAAATGAGGTAACAGGAAGATTCCCAGTTCTAATACTGTTGGCTTCTCACACTGCAATATAGGTACACTATATGGAATATACTAAATTGCTTGGCCAGCTGTGAAAAGGCTTGACTTTTATTTTTATTTTTTTTCTGGCAGAATTTGGGTTGTAAGAGTTTCTGTTTTTAAACATTCCCTCCAGTTTTGTGCTGATTCTTAACTATGTTTATGTCATTGTGTATTTTATTTATCTTGCAAAAGAATTTTGAGGACTCCTGTAGGAAAACTGATTATACCTCTATAACTAAAAGCAGGCTATACATTGGTAAATTAAAGTTATGCTATATTAACCTTATCAACATCAATGTATTTATGATTACTTATCAGATCATACATTAATATCTCAAACACCTAAAACCAATGCAGTGACATTAGACTGATTGTTGCCTTGTTTCTGAGACATACTGTACTGTCTTTGCTTGTGTACATGATGCAGAATCAGTTCAGACTGGGCTGATTTGTAAACTTTGTAAGATACAACTGGAATCCATGAATTAATTAATAAATATAAAATTTAAACAAAAAACCCTCAGGGTATTATAACAATACCATCAACATTTGCCTAATTTAGTAGGCCCTAAGGTAAAATGTTACCTCTTTCCTGTCTAAATCCTGATTAGCTGAAAAAAATGTAATTTTTTTTTTTTAAATCAGTCCTTCAGGGACATTGACTAAAGATAAGGGGAAGCCACCTTTAAATCAAGCTCAACAGTTTGGTGATGCAAACACAAATAGAGTTTTCTTAACCACAATATGGAAGTGGTTTGTTGTAGCCTTTCCACTTCCCAGTCTGGCCTACAACCCTAAATATTTCATCTTGTCTCCCTCCCAAGCATTAATAGGTCTGCTATTCAGGGGTGTATAGGGTGTGGTTAAAAAAAGTCAAGATGGCAGCCATGATGGTGCAGTCAAAGCTCTGCCTATTTTTTATGTGCAACACAGACACCCCTGGGTTTATTGCTTAGTTTCTGTGCAGATGAAGACAGCCAGGTTTACCACATGAAGGGAATAATACATTTCATATGGGAGTCTCTACAATAAGAATAGTCCTGCCACAAACAGGCTCCATCTTTATCACCCCCAAGTCAAGATATAGAATTTGGCATAATCTCCCTTCAAGTAGAAATCTTTTAAACTAGGCCATCATGGAGGTCTTCCTCTGATTTGATGAGATTAAAAAAAGAAAATTCACTGCAGTGTCACTTTTCCTGATGACACTGAGATGGTGATGACTAGAGAGTAGATGGAAAGCCCTTAGCTCCAGTTCCATAATCATTGTTTTGTGAAATTCTGTGGCAACTACAAATCTGGGGACAAAAGTGGGTTAATAAAACTCCATGGTTTCTTCCAGATAAATCATCCTTCTCTTGCCATGCCTCTTTCAAGGTTTGCTGAGATGGGGTACAAATACGAGAAAGAGCCTGGGAGCCCCTTTTCTGAGTAACAATTTTCATGACAAGGCATAAGCTTTTGAGAGCTGCAGCTCCATCATCATCATCACTTCATCATGCTGCAGCCCACAGAAGCTTATGCCTTGTCATAAAATGTGTTAGTCAGAAAAGGGGCTCCCAGGCTCCTGATTTTTTTGCTGCTGTGGACTAACACGACTCTCCTTCTCCAATGCATAAATATGTTTGTTCTATCTTGATCCAGTAAATATGTACATCTTATTTCACTATCAAAAGACATCTCCCCCTACTAACAAGTCAACTTGCATTGATTTCTGCTTGCCGGCTCAGAACCCGATGCACCCTCTCTCCTCGGTTAGATGAAGTAGTGCTTTGGTTCATGCAAACTCTGATTTGAATGTGGGATTTGCAGCTTTGACCTGATTGCTGCAGTGTTCCCAGCAACGGGCAGTCTTTTTTAACACAGACTTAATTATATGATAAGGCCCCGGCTGCCCATCGCCTGCAAGCTAATTTCTGTTATCCTAATCTTTGTTTGACCTTGCCAAACCTGTTCGACCAGAGATAACAATAGGGTGAGTGCTCACAATCCTTCTGTCTTCAGCTCTCTCCTTTGCCTTGCTAGGACTTATTTCTGTTGCAAATTTCCACTTTGAATTCTCTGAATGAACAACTCCTTGGTTCCCTGGATATTTGATTTACAGTCTTTGCAGGAAAAGGATACCCTGGTGTCATCATCCTCTTTTTCTCTGCTGTGGAAGACTGTTCTTCTAGACCCACAAAGATGTCAACACCTCCTGGCGATGTACAGGACTGAAACCAATTTAACCGGGGCAGTAAGGTATGCTTTATGCTGTTCATCTGCTTCAGTAGTCTCATTGGCATTTCACTTCTGAAAGGGCAAGTTAACTCTATCCTTACCAGCAGCTACATTTCGTTCCCTTTCCTTTCCCAGGGTTTCATTAAAGCCAAGGCTAAACTAAACGCTATAAGCTAGGGGTTGACTTCTGCTAGTATCCTTGGGGGCAACAGCAGATTTCCAGAACATTATAGTTTAGTTTTTTAATTTAAGCATTAGATTCATATCCCCCTCTTTATTCCAAAGGATCAAAGTGAATTACATGGGTTTTATCCCCCCACTCCACCCCAAACAATCCTGTGCTGTGAAGGGGTCTGAGGGTAGATTTGAATCGGAGTTTCCCCAGGCTCAGTCCAACCCAATGACTACATCACATTGGCTTTAAAAGGGCCTCAAAATGTAAACTGCCGAACTATTGCAATGTTGCCAGATTGTGAGAGAGTTAAGGATTTTTTGTGAGATTGTATGAGATTTTGGCATTCTTGCACAAGATCTAAGAGGAGTAGAATGGTGAAAAGTGAGCTGAGGGAGACCCAGATTTAAGTCCCCACACATTCAGAGCTTAGTGGGTAATGTTGGGCCAACCAACTTCTCTCATCCCACACAGTTCTCTCACAGAGTTTTTGTGGTGAGGACAAGTGGGCATGCCACCTTGTACTCCTCAGGGGAATGGTGGGCTATAAAAATAATAAATATATAGAACAAACAGGTAAAGAAAGTCTTATGAGAGTTAGCAATCATGCAAACTTTCTGGGAATCAGGCCCATTGCTTGAGAACACACAGTGACAACTAGACAGGAAATGTAGTTGACCTCTGTTGTAATCCATTTCCTGTAATAGTCTCTTAATGGCCTTTTAAAAACAACCAAGGAAAGCAATTTTGGAAGAGTGAATCTGGAGTAGAAAAGAGAGCTTAGTCCTCAACCCTTCTCCCCTTGTTACTTTTCTACTTAAAACTACTCCTTCCTTAGAATGTAAGAACATAAGCTGTGCCCTCCTGCCTCAGACCCCTGGCCCATGTAGTCCAGCAGTCTGTTCTCACAGTGGCCAACTGACTGCATAAGGAAGTCCACTAGCCTCCCAGAGCAAACAGCCTTCAGGGCAGTCCCACTGCCATCAAAGCTAATAGCTGTCATTCCCCAGGACTTCCATGAATTGGACCAACCCTTTGTAAGTCATTACTATCATAGCACTTTAAAACCCCCTGCTTATCTGTCTTTTACTACCTGGAGTAATAAAAATAGAAAATATGGATCAATTCTGAGAAGGAAAATAGTCTGGAGAAAAATATTCCAGTAGTGCTGGATTGTAGCTTTCAGATGTTTACTTTTGGGGAGAGAGGGTAGCATTTACTCTCCAGGTATAGTCCTGGTCAAATGGACAGCTAGAATGTGGATATTTTAGCCTCAGCATTTTATTAACGGCCCAGATGATCTCCTGCTTGCCCCAATGCAGGGGTGGGCAAAACTGTGCAACCAACAGAGGTGCCCAGCATTTTGAGGCCGATTGAGAATTGGCGTATGGGTGCGGCTTGCTTTTTAGAAGGGGTTTGGTGGCTTTATTTTTCATTTTTTCTTTGTACTTGTCAGATACCTATTTTAGGGCTTATGTGACTACTTTCACTTGGTTCCTACTTCAAAATGGCTGAAAAATATACCATCTATTTTTGGCCATCATGATCAAAAGGGACAGTTTAGCTCATTCATTCATTCATTCATTCATTCATTCATTCATTCATTCATTCATTCATACAATCAGTGGTTCCAACATAATCACCATTGAGAGCTCACAACAGATCCTGAGATTGCATAGTAAAGGTGAGTCTATGAATCACTGTCTCTTTATCAGTGTATGTATGTGTGTGTGTGTGCATGTGTGTACACACCTTTACAGTTTGCCTGAGCATGGTAGCTTGGCCTGATCCCTGCTGAGTTGGGAAGAACATGCTGGCAAACTCTACCACTGGTTCTAAAAAGTCAATTTGCTGAACCTCCTAAAATCACATTATGTGACATTTGTGCCTTCTGATTATTTACAATGTTGTGCTGCACCCCTGCTAGTTGACACTGCTGGGTCACCTAGCCTTTGTCATCTATCCAGGATGCATACAATTTTTGTATTTGTCACCAAGTTCTGCAAAATCCCACACAGATTTGAATCAGGCAGATCCAGTTCCATTTTGGAATTCAAATCTCCTGAATGGGTGTTAACGTGAAAATAGTCCCATTTCTTCCTTTTTCTTGTGTAACTTCCTCCTTTGGGTGTAAAAGTAAACGTATATTATTTTCTTAACAAAATGGGGACATAGATCAAGATTAAAATTATTTTTTCTGCCTGGGTATAAACCTCCTACCCAGTGATTATAAACACTGAATTAAGGAAATAATCCAAATCCCCACCTCAAATAATTGCATGTGTTCCATTTATCAATTTCTCTACAGTTTTCAACATACAGAGTTCATTTGCATAAGGCTGCAAGCTTTCCACTTGACAAGATGCAGTTATCTTTTGAAGCACTATATTAAATGAGAGGCAGAGAACTTACAGATAACAGCATGCCAAATCACTTAAATCTATTTCTAACTGTTCTAGTTATGAACTTGGTAGAAAAATATATATGCAGCAATAATTATTATGGAAAACAAAATGGTGGCAAAAATGTCTGTTGGATTATGAGAATGATAGAAGTTTCTATTTAAAATAAAACATCAAGGGTGTCTTAATTTGTGTGAAAACTCAGATCTCAGATAATTTTCAGAATGTACTACAAGAAGAAATGAGGCTTCAGGCCCAAGTTAAAAGAGAGTCAGGATAAGGTTGGGGTTAAGGAACTGGACTTGGATTAGGGAAACCCAATTGCAAATCCACCCTGAAAACTCACTAGGTCTTAGCCCCACCCTATCACACAGGATAGTTGCGGCTGCAGCGAAAAATTGGAAGAGAGTTCTATATGTCTCTTATGTTTCTGGAAGAAAGCTGAGTTATATATTTCTTGCGCAAGCAAACAAATCAATATTAAAATAGTTGGCAAAAAATTAAAATTAATTATATAAATTGCTATTAGTTAATACGATAAAGGCAATGTGGATTTCTAAAGCTGCCATGTCATTATGCAAAACATTTTACTCTTTTCTCTAATTTTCTCCCTGCTTATCTTTTCATTGCCTGTCTTTTTCCAAGGAGTTGAAAGTCATTCACACGGTTTTCTCCTCTTTCTTTTTATCTTGAAGCTTATCCTACAGAGTGGGTAAGGACAAGGAGGAGAAGTAATGGCTGGGTGGAATCAGGATTTGGACCACTCTAAAAAACCAAACTGCAGGGGGAGATTGATTTGCTCAAAACAATACAACCTTGATTAATGTATCTATGATGGCCAAGGGTTTACTCCAAGGATGTGTGATATTTATTTGTTTTATTAAATTTATCACTATGCTTAACGAAGGATACTAGCTGCAAGAATGACTGATATTAATATAACTAATATAAATGCACAGCTATGATGGTGTACACAGATGCTGATGATGTCTTGTGGATAGCAATGTACGTTTATGGAATGGGGCAACATCCATTCACTTACGCCAGCATTTCCCAATCCTGTGCTTTCCACGTGTGCTGGATCTATCAATTCCATTGTCCCCAAGGGCAGAGCATGACAGAAGTAGAAGTCAAACCGTTGGGAACACATTATGTAAGGTTGCCCTATCCCACATCTTACCCCTCTACAATGTCATCAGCTTTGCATAGTCATCTGTGTTGGGAATAGTGCCTGCTAATCAGTTCCAGGGTCAGCATTTACTCAAATTCAAACAAATTGCTTTCTTAGTAGGCCATTTTAGGCAGGATGGATATCGTTTAGTTGTAACTGGCAACTTGTAGGACTAGAACATAATGTTAGACTTCAACAAGACGATGAAAAACAGACATAGGACGAGTTGTTTTTCCAGCTAAAAAGTTTTCTTCCAAGATCCTGCTCCCTCCCAAGGACTACAGCTGCTGTTGCCTTGGGATGTTATGACAATATTCCAGCAGAGTTTTTAAAGAATCTGCACTTTTTGCTAGATTAGTTCCTGCCCCTGGTGAGACTAGATATGAGCAAAAAAGCTCTCTTCTGTAGCACTGTTGATTGAAGAATTAATAGCTGGCTTTGGCAGAATAGTTGTGAAACGGAAGGAAGAATCCATAAATTGTAAGGCACTTTTTTTTTTTAAAAAAAGGAAAGAAACAGTTACTGCCAGCTGATTTTTTCCTTTTCTCCACATCCAGTATGAATGGGAGGAATCAACTACTCTTCCCTGGGGTGCCTGGTTCCAACTGGCTAGTTAGCAGAGTGTGAAGAAAAGTCCATCTGCCTTTCTGATTCTAAAATAAAACCATACTTTTATTTTATTTTAAACCAGACAAGCTTTTAAAGAACAAACTGCTCTCAAGTAGATTCTTGAGAACTGGTAAGGTTTGCTCTGTTAGTAAATGTGCTTGGGAAGCAAAGCCAAGACAAAATAAATGTGTGTGTTTTTTTTTTTTTTGCCAAAACAGAGAACATGCATTTTGCCAAGCACACGAGACATCAAATTGCCCAGTTGTTCACAAGAGGTTTCATCTACTCTCCTCCATGCACATGCAAAGAGAATAAGAAAACAAGGTGCTGTCTTTTACCCAGACAACAGGGTATCTCAGAGCTCATCACCAAGGTGATTTCTTCCGGTTCTCTAGATGGGAGGAAGGTGGGTTGATATAGTTCTGCTAGCACCACTACTTACCCTCAGGTACAAGGTTGGTTAGTGGCACACAGCTCAATACTGGTTAGTTTCAGGGCAGTGCTTGGTGGGGTCTCTTCTGGCTTCTCCCCTCTCTCCCTGCATCACCATTTGATTCCCTAAAGGGAGGAGATCAACACCTGGGCAGGTAAGCTAGATAATACCCGATCATCATGGGCTACTTTGAAAAACGTTTAACCAAAGGAAGTTACGTTCCCATGGCTAGGA